TTGTTTGTGCTACATTATTAGTCTCGTTTTTGTTATTTGTAACAGAACAGTTTTGTTCTCGGCGAACTTGAAAGAACGTCATCAGCCTTGTAAACTCCCGTGGCCAGAAAAGGAGAAAACTTTTTAGGCTCCCGTCAATGTCCTATAATTCTATTCTACCTTCACCGCTATCACGTGTGTTCCGGGACGTGTACATGTATGTCCGTGAGCTTACGTCCGGTTCTTACGTCACATATCTTCGCAAAAATAAACCGTCCGAGCCAAAAAAAAGAAAAAGGTATTCAGCGCATTTCTTTATATACAGGGTGTCACGAAAGAAAATTTGCACGGTCTTTTTTTACTGAAAAAATAAACTAGGCATCGCCGAACGCTCATTCTCCGCCCAGAGGTAGAGCTAGAGGTTACAACCAGATGCCAAAATTTCAGTCCGATCCGATACCTCAATCAAAAGGTGATTTTCTGAAAATATCAATGGAAAATGGAGCCTATTTTTGCCCGTTTTCGGTTTCTGGTGCCGTAGAGCCCCACGTGTTTGAAAACTTCGTCGGCCGCCATTTTCCCATTGAAATTTTCAGAAAAATCACTTATAACTTTTGATTAAGTTATCGGATCGGGCTGAAACTTTGGCATCTGGTTGTGACCTCTAGCGCTACCTTTAAGCGGAGAATGAGCATTCGGTGATGCCTAGTTTATCTTTGCGGTAAAAAAGACCGTGTAAATTTTCTTTCGTGACACCCTGTACATGCCTCTCGGGAGCCTTACTACCGCCCGTAATCGACACAGTTCTGATTACTTCCGCAAAAACGATCAACATCAACTCTCCCGTAAATGACGGAAAACAACAAATTACAGAGAAACCAAGTTGCGGCAACAACAACAGCAAGAAAAGCCGAGCCGCGCGACATCCTACGTCAGGGACGAGCGGCGCTTTACGGCACGGAAACGACCGCCGGGGCAATCGGACCGCGCGCGCCCTGGCTGCGCAAAAAAAAACGAATCAGAGGCCCCAGGGGCCGCCGTCGCCGCCGCCACGTCCGCTGCAGCGAGAACCGGCCGCCACTCAATTTCTTTTTTCTATTTAATTTTTCTTTTTCGTCGCTCCGGCGTGCTGCGTACTTGACGCGAGTCGCGGCGCGGTGTGCCGAGGCGAGGCCGGATGGCCGTGTCGGCGGATTACGATCTCCGCTGGCGGGAGGGGAGAGGGACGCGTCGTGACGGGAGTAGGGAGCCTAGATTTAGGAGAGAGACCAACTCAAACCGCGGGGATCTTTTTGCAGTTTTATGTGAGGAGGCCTCCTTCGTTTAGACGCCTGCGGACGACGAACGCTTTTCATCCATTCCTCGCGGAGGCCCTCTGCGCTGAAGCTCTCAGCCATGGAGGTAGGAAGACTCGCCCCTCAACGATGACCAAAACCGAGAGCCGACTTGGTGCGAGCAGCTGCTTTGGTCACCTTCCGAGGAGCCTCCCGAGTGTGACCAAAACAGCTGCTGGCGCCAAGTTAGCTCTCCTTTTCGTCCAATAGCGTCTCTTGGTTTTGGTCATCGCTGGGGGGCGCGTCTCTCCACAGTGCCGCGTCGCCCCCAGAAGCTGCCTACCTCCGTGCTCTGAACCATTTTGGGTAGTACAAGCTCACCTGATTGGGCCTCGCACTAGGCACTTTCGCTGAGCTTTTATCTTTCTGCGTAGTGCTGCAGAACGTATGAAACACCTTTCAACTTTCGAGATCGGCTAGATTCAACGCCGTATGACAATCGAAAGTGCCAGATTGGTGCACCCACCCCGAGAGCATGCGTGTTTCTTATCTCTGCGTGGTGACGTCAAAAAACATCTGGCGTCCCGACGCTTTCTTTCTTGTTTTCCTTTTTCTTTGGAACGTGTAAAACAGCATCTCTTGGCTCACGCACGCAGCGTCTTAGCTTTGAACTGCGCTGCTTCAACGACATTCGAGTTTTTGTTGCGTCTTTTTTGCGTCTTTGTTGTATTTTCCTCGTGATCTCGTGATCTCATGTTCCGCACCAAAGCAGGGTCGGTTCTACATGTGTGGCAGTTTGAGACGCCCAAGTTTATACTACCCAAAACAAGTCCTAACGTGTCCCTCTTAACAGCACCCCCTGGACAAGGCAGGAGGCCCACAAATCACGTGACCGATCGAGCAGTTCGAAACACTGTTTAATCTAGGCACACTAGATAGACCGGGAGGACGGGAGCAGCGCGACGCGGGGGAGAAGGCGGGGGGGGGGAAGGGGGGGGGGGGGGGGGGGCAGCGCTATCTCTTGCACCGCCGCGCGTCCTCCCGTCGAAGCGAAGCGTTGTTTCCCCCCCCCCCCCCCCCCTTCTCTCTTCCCGCGCTCTCTATCTTTCTTTTTATCTTTATTATTTTTTTCTTTCCCGCTGCGAGCGATGTCCTCGCACGCGCGTTGCCTTTCGCTCCGATTCCGCGTCGCATTCCGCGCGGGTCGTGACGACGGACGCCGAAGCGTTCGACTCCAGACAGTCGAGATCCGAGGCATGCGCTGCCGCGTACGTCGATCCGTGCCGTATTTTTTTCCCTCTATTTATCGTCTCGCTGACGAGGCATTCATTCCACCGCTTGGCTGCTAGATTTTCCGATAAACGGTAGTGGGAATCTTCCTTGCGCGCCGCGTCAGTTCATTTTAACTGTCGAAGTTGAAGGGAAAGCGCACCGAAGTAATTCAGTGCAGCATTATATGAAGACACCTCACAGATATAAGACTGTTCACACTGACAAATAAATGCAGATTTTGTAGTTGCTAGCTCACGTATCTAGCACGAATCAACAGACTATGAAAACTAACATAGCGAGAAGAAAAACCTAAACAAAATTCAATCGTTTTTTTTTTTTTTTCGGTTTTTACGGCGGGCAAAAACTGTCTTGCCGTTCCCTCATCGCGTCCTTTCGGAGGCCCCAGCCGAGCGCAGCCGCATCTTTCCGTGTTCCGGGAAGGCCGGAGCCTCGTTTATTATTTCTACGTAATTTTCCTCGCCCGTGGTCGCCCGGGGGTCAAGTCTGTGCGCGGTTCGGCGCAGCGCGCGCACGTGCTCGGCCTGCCCCGCTCGCCCCTAGGCGGCGCCACTCGCCGAGAGGGGTCGGCCGCGAGAAGCGGCCCCGTGATTGATCGCCAGTTTAACGTTGTCGACGGGGGCGACCCAGCGCGATCTCTTTTCCGTACCTCCGGTGACGGCGCGCGTGCTTTGTAATTTCGGCTTTTGCCCCGCTTCTCGGTCGAGCTGCGCGGAACGCCGAGTTGCGTCCGGGATCTCGGCGGCGTGGGGATCGGTACCGGGCGCGGTTTATAAGCAAGACGGAGCGGTCGCCACGTTGGAAAACTAGAATTATTTGGTTCCTTGGCCGCGCGCCCCAAGGGCGGTAGTTGTCCGACTGGAATGTGCACGCACGACGTTCGATGATCCCAGCTTTACAGTTTTTTTTACGTGCGCGTGTTTGTGAGTATACATCTCGAACGCGACGCCGGTTTCCGTGTGTCGACACACTCTGTGGCAACATCCTGTACGTTTTGGTGCGCCGCGGCTCATTTGATCCTACGTGCGGACAACAACTTCAACGACCAGGGGCGTGGTTTCAATAAGAAGTAATAATAACAATAAAGTCAATATTGCTGGTCGTGCATGGGTGGGCCTTCCGTGTCTTTTAGGTGGTATCGGTAGACAGCGATACTACACGCGCTCCGCTGATCGTATCTGCAGAGGCAAACTACCGCCAAGTGCGAACTGCTCCGTGACGGTGGTCGGCGCGATATCAAGAGCGCGGAAGCGCCGACGCGGAAGATAGGCAAACGCGTGACGACGCGGAAGCTGCGATAATTAAGAGAGATGGGCAGATTTGTAGAGCGCCTTCTCCCGTTCCCGCTTACGATGGACCGCACCGGACGCTACGAGCCACATCCTAGCCAATGCAGCGCCGCGAACGTACCACGTGATCGCGCGCGTCGCTGCGGCCTCTACTGAGGTCACGTGACACCCAGACGGCATTGGATTGGGCTGCAGAGTTCGCTGCGCTTCATCGTAAGATGAAAATGAGTATATCTGCACGGGCTGCAGGTAGCGAGCGCCAGAAACAAGCCGAGGGACGGGGATGTAGTTCTCTGACCGCGTGTGGTATTGACGCGCGTCTGGCGCGGGCCATGGCGTCGCTGCGGTTCTGTGACGCGCAACGAGGTTGATTCCGAAGACAGTGCGCTTGTTTATCGGGGTGGAGAGAAGCGCTAATGAACTTTGTTGATTCTGTGTTGGCACGCAGCCCGGGGGAGGGGGGGGGGGGGGGGACGCTCCCCCCCCCACCCTCCCCCCGAAAACTTCGATTTTGCTGGGACCTTCTCTCCCCCTCATACAGCATTTTGTCATGGGTGGGCCCCCATGATATCCGACTCAGTTCCAATGAAAATTGTCACGTCCAGCCACCGCTTAGATTTCGGAAGAAAGTTTACGGTTTTGTTAGCAGGGTGTTTGTTCGGAGACGGACGTTATGATGAAACGTCGCCTTGAAGTGCGTATTACGGCGAGTTCGCCGCTTGTAACTCAAGAAAAATTTATTATGTAAAGACAAAGCAGCCGTGTTTTAAATCGCACCTTCGTACTATGCTTTTCAGTGAGTTCGAAAACAAAGAAATACTACCTCGACGACTGTTGTATACTGATAAAGCGAGCGAAGTAGCATGTAATGTCGTATATGCTACCTGAGTCGTGCGATTGTGAATATGGTTGTTGCAGCGTCTCAAAGAACCGGTTGCCAGTTCGGAACGTAGCGACATACCTCGGAGCCAAAACGCGTACAAGCAGAGATATCGCCAAACGGAAAAGCAACGCATGAAACGCTTTAAAAATAGCTGTACCCACTCGCAGATGGCAGAAGCGCTCACTCGAGCTCCCTGCAGTACAGCGTGACCCTCACAACTGCCGCGCTGCTGTTCCGAAAAGTACAGACTCTCATCCGTGTCTCTCTCTCTCTCTCTTTGCCCAGGCTACAACGGTCCGGATACAGAAGGAAAACGGCGGTAAGTCCCTTCCACGGAAGGTTCCTTTTCTTCTCGATTAGTCAGTCAGTCGTCGTCCCCCCACCCAAATCCGAAGACCTAGACCACGAAGATCGGGCACCCCGCGTACTGCCGCACAAATGCGAATATTCGGGCGGAATAAACGGATCTCCCGGGCTGCCCACTTCTCCTTTTTTTACTACTCCCAGCCCCAAGTACCCCCCCCCCCCCCTTCCCCTCCCCTCCCCTCTGCTATAGTCCGTTCACCCGTAAGCTGAGTGTGTTGTGGAGGGTACGCGCTCGTTGAACTGGTCACACGTCTCCTTTTCGCAACGTGATCACAACTCCCGCCCCGCGCAGAGAGCGTCATCACGTGGAGCACAAGATAGACGGGGGACTGGTCCAACGAGCACGTAGCTTCCATCGCACTGTCGGCGTAGAGAGATCCGTCGACTCCCGCTACGGTCCAAGCGGCTCTCAGCGGCGGCGAGACGTGTGTGTGTGGACGCAAAGGCGAGGGGGGGGCAACAGCGGCGGCGGAGTCGGGGCGGACAAAGGCGCGTCTCCCGCGCTCCGCTGCACAGCCGAGCACGACGACGACGAGCGAGCGGCCTGCGGGGGCTCTTTCCGCGAGCGGGGCTTTGTCCCGCCGCTGGGAGAAGAACCTCAAAGGCTTCTTTTGTCCGAGCACAGCCTGCTCTTCTGCGTCGTAGTTTCTGCCCCCCCTCTACCCCGCACCCTCCCCGAGAGAGCTCGCTCGCTCGTTCGCCGGCTTCGCGCGGACGAGCGCGCGACGACGACGCCAGGAGAATCGACGTCGTGGCCTTCCTGCCGCGCTCGCTGCTCGTTTTTTTCTTTTCTTTACTCGTTTTTGTTTTTACGTTTACCCGTGGGCTTTCTTCTTTCTCTTTTTGGGGGGGCGGGGGCTTTCTTTGCGTCGCGGCGTCAGCTCCGCGCATTCGAGTGACTGCCCCCGTCGTTCGCCGCCTCCGCGCGCTCTCCTTCTATTTGGGTCGCGCGTCGGGACGATTTTGGGCGCTAGTTCGTCGTCGTTCGCACCCCCGTGACGACGACGACGACACCTCGGAGGAGTGCGGTGTCCTTCGCGCTGTCGTCACTCGTCTGCGTTTAGATGTACGTGCAGTTTTACGCGTAAATTTTTTTGTTGGGCAAATCGTGGTTGCCATATACACCTTTGCGCTTATTCTCGCCCCCGACCGCCAAGAAGGCATATCCGGTATGGGCGACAAAAAAAAAAAAAAAAAAAAAAAAAAAAAAATATTAAAATGTGTTAACCTCCAAATAGCAAAAAAAAAAAAAAAAAAAAAAAAAAAAAAAAAAAAAAAAAAAAAACTAGAGGGTAGACAAAACGAGAATGGGCGACGGTTAAGCGCCGTTCACACTCTTGCAACCGAGTACGACCGAGAGAGACGAGACCGGTTTTTAATCCTCTTGCGACTTCTTAGGACCAGCTCCGCAGCAGCGCGAACGGTCCTAAGAAGTCGCAAGAGGATTAAAAACCGGTCTGGTCTCTATCGGTCGTACTCGGTCGCAAGAGTGTGGACGGGCCTTTACCCTCATCTCCTAAATGCATTCTATTGGCGTGGCGACGGCAAAGCAATGTTTTCGCCCATACTGGAAGTTACGAAATTTCAAGATGGCGGCGCCCTTGTGAAAAAGGTCTATAGTTTTCCGCGAGGGTGGATTTTAAGGGCGATTTAGCATATCTGAATCAACGAAACACTATTTCTAAATTTGAAGTGTACCTGAGCAGATGTCCTAAAAAGCTTATTCGCAGACCAAAAAAGAAGAAAAAAGGCAGCTCTTTTTTGCTAGCACCAGCTGCGAACTTATTCGGGCATAATCAGTATACGGGCGTCATAATTTTTGCCCGTCTAGGGCTAAAGAGGAAGTACCCAAACGCGGTAATCGACACCGACCCGCCCAGCGTTCCTCGGAAACCCTGCGCAGCACAGGAAAGCGGACAAGTAAGCGCGCGCCAGTCGCCTTTCCGTCGAAAAGCCCCAAACGGGCAGCCGTCCAGGGGCCGCGGCTGCAGCCGGCCATCGGCTGCAGGGCTCCCGGCGCATCCTGCCGTCCCCGCTCGGCGCCAATTAAGCCCCCGCCGGTATTCCCGAGCCGGCTCGCCTCTCATTTGGGGGCCCCGCGCGCCGAAACAGCGGGAGAGCGCCGCGGCAACGATCGGGCTTGAGTCACCGACGGACGCGCGCGGGCACGCACGCCGCCGGCCGAGCGGGAGCACGGCGGGGAGGGGGGGAAGCCGTCCCACGGGTGATGAACGGCCCTGCGGGCCCCCGCTCCGCGACGAAATATAAGGGAGTTTTCGTAGATCGTTTTCGCCGTCCCGCAAGGCCCTCCGCAACCCGCTACGATAGCGGGAACTCCACAGTCAAGGTTATCAGCGCGCAGGCGCAGTAGCAACTTCTTCGTTGCGGAACGCTTAGCGGAGTGGGCAGCGCGGTCTACGAAAACTCCCTATAATTAGGGCCCCTCGCAGGACGGGTCCGGTCTTGCTGCCCGTTGGCTCGGCGGCTGCGACGACGTTCGGCCGTGCGTGCCGCCGGAGAAGGCGTGGGGATCGGGGGGGACCCCTCGGGAACGAGGCTCTCGGCTCGCTCGTTCCCTCGCTCGCCGAGAAGGAATTGCCTCATTAAATGCGGCGGCGGGAGGAACGGGCAGCGCGCGAGCCTCGGCGGCCGATTGCCGCCGGGGAGACCGAGCGCTGCCGTCGTCGTCGTAGCGAGAGAGTCGGGGGAGCGGGAAGTTTACGGCCGCATGGGCGCCCTCGGAGGGGGGAGGGAGATGTGGTATTAGAGGAAAGGGGGAAAGAGGAGCCTTTTTTTTTTTTAATTTTCGGGAAGATTGGGGAAGGAGGGAGGCGACTCGCATGCGGCCCAAATGCCCCGAGTGGCGCGACGCGGCGCGTGATCTTCCTCAAATTGGGAGGGCGGAAAAGGGGTTTCTTTTTCCTCTTATTTCTCTGGGGATACAGAAAAAGAGGGAGGCGAAATGCAGTCCGTCGCTTTTGTCGGGATTGCGTGCTCGTTTGGCGGAGGCGGTTCAATGGCAGATAGCGGCACGTCGATGCGGCGAAATCCGCCGGCTTTATGAAACGAGAAGCCCGTGAAAAAAAAAAAAAAGTAGCTTTCTTTTTTGCGTCTTTATCTCTGGTCGTTAATTGTGGGGAAAAATAGGGTTAGACAATGGAGAAAAAAATTGAATTAGATTCCCGGAGATCATTTGAAGAGGGGGGGGGGGGGGGTGTTGGAGCTCTGACTTTAAAGTGCCGTCGATCCGCGCGTGTTACTCGATTCTCTATAATTGCGAGTAAGGTTCGGGAGACTTTTTCCGACGTGAAAGCATCGGTGATTTAAAACCAGCAAGCAATGTCATTGTCCCAAGCTTCGTCCCTTTTCCCTAAATATAGCCATTTGGAAATTATTATTTTTTTAAGTCATCCTTCGTGCAGACTATTGGTGATTTGATCGTGGTTGGTGGTACGCCATTCCACTGCTGGCTGCTTCGTAAGTGCCCAGTACGCGCCATGGCGGCGTCTCGAAAGCCATTTTGGAAAAATTGATGAAAAAAAATAAACCAAAAAAACTCGGGTTTCTTAAAAAGGGTTGGATAACACTGTGCGTAACTTCACACCCAGGTCGTAGGGTGGCAGCTTTTCGCCAATAACGGAGACGGCCAATCGCGTCGAACAGTGGAAGGGGAACCCTGCGATCGATGAAGCTCACGATAGTGCTGACCTTTTTTCACAAAGTCCACCGAGCACCAATGTCAGTCGCCATTGCTTGGACACGAAGCGCGTGATTGGTTCCGAGTGGTCGCCGAACGCTGACGCAGCTTCCGGTAAGCACTCGGGTCCAATCACGTGTCCAATACATGCTCGGACGTATAGGCTCAAAATATGTGATCAAGCGGACTTTTGGAAAGGGTCTAAGGAGTTACGTCGTGCTGAGCGTCACCGAGCACATTAAATTTTTTTTTTTCGGCTCATCATCGCATTGTGAGCCCAAATCATCAGCTGGTATAGGCTTGTGTCTCGGCGCTCGTCAAGTAAACACGAGTGCCTTCCAGCCTGCGAATGATATCTTCGCGTGGCGTGCTGCACGGTCTGGCTCGTCCGTGTCGGTTGTTCCTCGTGTCCCTCTAGTGTGACTCGGGCCTTAAACATTTCCTGAAAATGAGGTCTATCAACGGAGGGACTCTATCAGTGAGCAGCAACAAGACGTAAACATTCCCGCCGAAACCATCACACTTGATACGACTAATGTAGCTGAACACATCTTCCATCTTCTTTCGCACCCAGTTACGCGGGAGTCGGGACAAGTCACGAGCGAGGCGCGCCGTTTCCTTTGTATACACCCGCAGGTGTCCGCTACTCCATCCACCCGAAGAAGCGGAAGCTCGACGCCGACGGCAAGTCCGAGACGTGTTCGGAGACCGACGGCCGGTCCCGGTCCCAGAGCCCCGAGCGCTGCGACCAGCGACGTCGCAGTCGACCCCTGAGCCGGTCCGCCGACTCCGCGGGATTCGCGTCTCTGCGGCCCGAACTCCGGCAGAAGAGGATGCAGTACCACGCCGTGCGGAGGCGAAAGCTCCGCTCCGGCCTCGACATGATCCGTCGCCGCAAGCGGACCCCGTCTGCCAAGGGTTCCAAGCCTGCGGTCGGAGCAGACTCCAAGGTGGGTTTCCAACTCGGCACCCTGTTGTGCTGGCCGTCGCGCTGCGCGTGCTTCATTCGTGTGCCGCGAAACTTCATCTCATTTTCATTCGTGTGCAACGAGCTGCTGCAAGTCACCTATACCGGAGGTGTGAAAGCCCACTACCACACTATATATAGCTTTTGACTATAGTCTGCTAGTTAGCCGTACGGAATTAGGTGGATGGGCCTGTAAATATGTCTGGCTGTAAGCAGTGTTAACGCGTTATTTCTGGCGGACATTACGGCGGAAGATCAGGTCACGTACATTGGGCGGACGCGAGTATTTCCAGCTATAGAACGTGCGAATGTTGTCTCTTAAGTATTACTTTTTACGATGTTTTGTACGTCACCGCGAAGGCAGTCCGATTGATGTCTTTCTTTCTTTGTGGTGCAGCCGTTCGGCGAGCTCAAGTACGACGCCCCGCCGGACCTCACCAAGATCCCCGTGAACAAGGCGACGGGGGAGACTGTGCTTCACCGGGCGGCACGCCTCGGACATGTGGTGAGTGAGATGATCGCAACTTTCACTATGTTTTCGCTAGTGTGGGAGTTCTGGGAAAGGTCGGCATGAGAAATGCTGCATCACATAGACTGACCAGCAATGGCGACGTTTATAAATAGCCCTCTGGACCGCTGATATTCGAGCGCTCATTGGAACAACCGTCTTGACGCTTAATTTATTTTATCACGTTTACAGGTGACGCGTAACTTCGACGTAAAGTTAGTATTTAATTGTCTTTTTTTTTTTTTCGACGGAGGGTGCTAGTTACACACACGCGTGTGTAAACGCTCCTCGAACTAAGACAAAAAAAAAATATCATCAGCTTTAGAGCGTTTATTATCTATCCCTCAACAAGCGCACAAATATTCCTACGGGACCGCCTCCGCTACTAATTCACCTCCAATTGCATTCACAAAGCAGCGGCGTCGAAAACAGCAAGACAAAAGGGGCTCCCGAACACACTGACGCTCCTCTCTATGTACCCAATACATCTGGTGCACTCAATGCGAGCCACCGAGCGTGCCGCACACGCCTCCACCCCGGCCGCACGCACGCCCACCCGCAACCCGCACGCTACCCGCGCGGACACCAGTACTACGCCGGGCTATGGCCGCCAGCTCGTGTGCGTTCGGGGCAGGGCGGGCCGGACCCGGCTGCTTTTTTGCCGGCGCTGTAGTGTCGCGGCGACAGCAGCAGCAGCGGCGTGGTCCCTCGGTCGCGCCCCGGACCGACCGGGAGTCGACCGCACGAAGCGGCGGGGACCGCGCCCGTGCCACGCGGCACGCACGCCCGGATTACAAAAGGCGGTGGCGTCGCTCGAACGAACGAGCGAGCGGCCCGTCGGGCGGTGGCTCGCGTTGCCAGTGTCATCCGCACCCGCTTCCCCTGTTTCGTGCACAGACAAAAACACACAGACGTCCCGCGCGCGTGTCTGGCTGGCTGCGTCAGCCGCACGCAACGACGGGTTCTGTTTTCGTGGAACGCTCGGCGGCGACACTGCCGTTGGGTTTTTTGTTTTTTCGACCGAGTTCGGTCGCGGTGTCGCGTCTCGCTTCGCGGGGGGCCGGAGGAGAGTCGGGAGTTGGGTACATAACGAGAAGAGACGAAGAATAGTCCTGCGAACTTCGATACATTAGAGAGTTTTCGCAGACCGCGTTTCCCCTCCGCTAAGCCCTCCGCAACGAACAAGCCGCCACTGCGCCTGCGCGCCCCTTGGCCTTGACTGTAGAGTTCCGGGTAGCGTAGCGGGCTACGGAGAGCGTTGCGCGAGGGCGAAAACCATCTACGAAAACTCTCTATTGTGTAGGAAGTTTCCATACTTTTAGCGTCTCTGATCTACTATATAGTACATAACTGCTTAAATAAATGGAACACTCGACGAGTTCCCGAGAATCTTGGTTACCGCTCCGGAGTCAATGACATCGAGGGATCATCCGATTAAGGGTGTATCACGAAGTGCGAAACGTAAACTTCATAGCCCACGATTTACGTTTCTTAAACTGTCAATGACTACAATCACAGTGTTTTTCTTCACATATCACGGTTGCATTCTCTCGGAGTCCGCAACTCGCAGCTACTTAGCCGATTAGAATGCAAAGCATCCGTGCGCTCAAAGCGCCGCCCGGCGTTGAGCGCCGTATCGTGGCTGGACGCGGTGAGTGCCGCCGCGTTGCCAGTCGGACGGTTCCGCCCGGACTCCTGAGACGGAACTGCCCTCGAAGCGCGTCGCGTGTGACACCGGTGCAAATGGACGCGGAAGTCGTCGAGACCTGCCCGACCCGCTCTCCTGCCTCGCGCTGTCGGCGAATTCCCCGCGGCGGCGACGGGGCCGACTTCGTTTCGTGTTGTCACGGTCTCGCCGAACGGACCGGGCGGCCGAGTGGGGCGCCGCTTTACGTGACACGGCTTCCGTGACTGGAACCAATTTGAGCGGGCCGCGATGTCGGCTCCTGTTGCTCTACGTCGAGATGAGCGAAGACGTTCTTTCGCCGAATGGCGTCCAGGCGCTTTTGATGGCCGCGACGGCGCGTATCAGGTGTTTGTTGACGGAGGACGGCTTACTTTAGACGCTAGTAAACAGAAGTACGTCTTAAATCTAATCCGTAGGTGGAATCCGGAAAGTATCAGTAAGAGTAAAGCCTTCAATAAAAACGGTACTAAAAAAAAAAAATAGTTCCTTGACGATACGTTCATAAGTCATGGGTCTGTGGGGTTCCTCCATATTCTCTCTTGCAAAGGGAGGTTATTATATGAAAATTGAGAAGGATTTCCAAATTGGGTATACCACCAATTCTACGAGGGTTCCAGCGAGTTTTGGAACAACGCCTAACGTGACAGTTGCAGCTTTATCGAGCGCTGCCTTTCGCGCGTGTGGTTCAGTATCCTGCGAGTTTCGAACCCACTTTTCAAAGCGCTCCACCATAAGCACTTGCGAGTAGTTACGACGTAGCACTCAGCTTACAAACGAACACACACCTAAAAAGACGCGACCTCAAAGCTGCATTTCTCTACCCTTCCTTCCGCTGCTACGTCCTGACGGCCTTCCCGAGAATTCCCCGGTGAGTGGCACACCGGGTGTTCCCACCGAGGGGGTCGTGTCGCAATTCCACGCGGGCTCCCTCCTAGGAACGGGAGGGGGGAGAAGGGGGGGGCCAACCGTGTCACGCGGGGTGGGGGGGGGCGACGCCCGATCTCCCCCCTTACGGCCCAGGTCGCCCTGCCGTGGCCGTCTCACCGCCGGCGGCTCAAAATAACCTGGCTGGCGCCCCGCGACCGCGGCGGCAGCTGCACCGGCCAAAAGATCGAAGCGGCCCCGTTCTACGCGCGCCGCGCTGTCGGCCGCGCGCCGTCGACGACTCCCCGGCCTCCGCCGCCGCTTTGCCGGCGAAAACTTCCGCGTCGAGCGGCGACGCAGTTGGCGCCTCACGCCGTCCTGGCCTTTGCCGTTCGGCCGTGCCTACCCGAGGGAGGGCCCTGGCTCGGCGCCGCCCGTGTGGCGTTGACGGGGGTCTCTTGTACTCCATTTCAGTTGCTAATAATTGTTTATTCCCATTGCAAATATTAATAAAAACCAAAGGAAAAGAAAACGAATAACAAGTTTGGGATTACGATTTCCCATTAAAATGCGATCTGAGCAGATAGCCATTTCGCTTGAAGTCGTTATCTCTGTCCCGTAAATCGCGCTATCGCCGTGCTCCGCGGGAAAGCAGACCCGCGGGCCTTATTCTTGAGAAGTGCGGCTATTTCACGAGCAAATGCGGGATAGAGTAACTCTGAACGCAAGGTTTTGAATGCCAAGGCCCGATACCTCGCTGTACGCAACGAACACGCCGCAGCAAACGCGCGGCCTTGATCGCAGACTTGCGGGCCTCCTCCCAGCGGATTCCTGAGAGCGTTGCGGGGCGGCGGAAGCGACCTACGAAACCCTCTAATAGAGAATATTATCGGTTCGTCTCGATACTTCCGGTAACGATACCCGTTATACTCCACCGACGACGCCTTGGCCCATGCATCCCATCGCTACCGAGCATCGTTAAGGAAAGTGTCGGAACCGACTCTCTACCGTCGAGTCACTTCGCCAACACCCGGACGCGAACCTCGCGAAAGAAGGGGGGCCTTTTTCCGTCCCGCACTGCGCAGCCGCGAACGGACGTCGGCCCGAGCCCGCTTAGTATTCTTCCGGCGGTGCCTCCGCCCGGGCAGGCCAACGTCCCGCGGGGACTGCGGGCGGCGGGGCGAAGCGGCGCGGTAATTTGGGCGTGTTCCTTATCCGGCCGTGCCGGGGCCCCCGCCGCGAGATCGGGCGACCACCCACGGCCCCGACGGACGCCTCCGGTGCGGCCGGGAATCGCGGCGGGGACGCTGGCCGGCCCCGTCGACCGACGCCCGCCGCTCTTGAACGCTGCTTTCTGCCGTGGGCCTCTTTCTTATTTTTTTATTCTCCGTGTCCAAGTCGAACGAAGGCCGCCGCTGTTTGCACGCCGACGGGAAAATACGCGGGGTCGACGCTTCTGACGAATGGGGAAGATAGGTGTGCGATCGGCGTCCGCGGTGACTGATGACGGCGCGAAGACGGAGGTGGGGCGAGGTCGCTAAACGACACGGTGGCTGTCTTATCTCGCCGAATAGAACCTGTCCTTACTTTGTTTCGTCGTTGTTATCTGGCCATTACCTGCGCTCCGTGTTGTCGGTTCTAGACACAGCTCTCCAGCAGTTATCGCACGCGAGAAGAATGCCGAGTTACTGGGCTGTTGACGCATGCGGAGCTTCTGGTATTCCGCGGAAAGACAGCTATCGCGCATGTTCGCAACCCGTTTGAGAGCCCAGTAGACAAAGATGGTAGCTCGCAGAAGGCCTACAGTTCTGCCAATCTAACTCCAAACTGAAGTAAAAACGCCAAGGGGCAACGACGGGGTCCCCCGGCGCAGCCAATCGTCCCACGCCGCCGCCAACCCCGATAGTTCGGAGCTCCGAGTCAAGGCTGGGTGTCCGCCGACGACGACATCGTCCCCCGCCCCCTCCGGTCGCGTCTATTCTCGGCCTCCCCGCGCCGAAGAGCGGGGCCCCGGGAAGGCAGCGGCGGCGCACCCCGGCCGGCCTTGGCGAGGGCGAGCCCCCGGGGGTCCCGCCGGGCCAACACCTTCGAGATAAAACGAGGCCGCGGCGCTGCAATTTTCTACGTCACCCACGGAAGGCCCGAAAACCAGTCGGTAAAAAGCAACGGAAAAAAGTATTTGACCCAATTTCGAGATTTTACGAAATCAAAAAGTACGCTTAAGGCATACTTTTAGTACGAATGCTTTAATATCAGTATAATTAGTTTGCTTTTTTTTTTTTCATAAAAATTACATGCTTGATAGATTTCCACTGTATTCCTTTTTACTCGAGGGTCAGTGTTTGGCTGGGACCCGTGTTCTTCCCGATCAAACCCGAACCATGGCCGAACTCTGACGCAACACTGGTGCTTGCAATCTATGCCCCGCGGTGGCCTTCCGTGGATG